CCCCCCCCCCCCCGCAACTCCCCTGCCACACCCCTGCAAATGCCTCTCATCCACCTGATCTCACCTCTCCCTCCATTGTCCACTCATTCCCCAGGTATTCGACAGCTCTGGCTCCTTCCTGTCCTACATCAACACGTCTGCAGAGCCACTGTATGGCCCCCAGGGCCTGGCACTGACCTCAGATGGACACGTGGTGGTGGCCGATGCTGGCAACCACTGCTTTAAAGCTTATCGCTACCTCCAGTAGCTGCACAGGGGCCCTGCCTGGCTCATGGAGGGACAGACATGGGGGGATTGGACAAGAGGGTCTGGCCGGGAGTTGGGCCGGACCTGGCAGCACTGAATGTGGGCTGTGGGCGTGGGTGCGCCCAGTGCCCTCCCTCTCCCCGTCTCCCAACCCCACGGTTGCACTTTATTTATTCGGTTCTTGCTTTGGTGACTGGGTGGGCCTGGACTGTGGTCCCAAGGATGTGTGCAGAGCTTCACCCTTCCCCCTCTCCCCACCTTACACGCCTGCCCTGTCCCCTCAGTCTGCCCTCCACCCCCCAGCCTGGGGCCAGAACAGCCTCTCACTCCAGGGCAAAAGTCCCTCTGGTTGTCTCCCTACCACACCATACACACTGACAGAGACAGCAATACCCCACCCCCCATATTAAGTAAATGTGTTCACCAAGATGGTTTTGTTGCTTTCTTGTGGGGTGGGGCTTCAAGGGTATGGGAGGGTGGGACTCACTCTGAACTAAAAGGAAGCAGGCAGGCAGGTGATCCAGAATCCTAAGAGCCCTGATGTTTTAAAGTTTCAGGAGTAGAACACAAGAGAGGGTGAACCCCTGGGACTCTTAGCCACCTGCCAAGTCCCTGTCCCTGGGCCCATGTCTCCTGCAGAAATAGTAAGTCCTTTGGCTGTGTGCCCTACAGCTGAGAAGGAGCTTGGGAAAAAATGACCCTTGCCCAGAACCCAGCCAGCAGCTGCAGGGAGAACAGTTTGAGGGTATGACAGTAATTCCTGAAGCCCAGGCCTGGGTTGGGGACCTTGGGGCTATCCCAGGTGGAAGCCAGGTGTGGGAGACTCCATGGCCAATTTTCAAGCTCACTGCTGAAGCTGTGGAGCCCTGCTTCATCCTCCTGTTCCCCATTCCGTGATCATCGCCCCTTCTCCACAGTGGAATGAGAATCCTCATACCCCTCCTGAGTTCTAGTCCCCTGGAGTTGACTACCAGTTCCAGAGATAATTATAACCAGCACTCAGTGATTTGGGAGTCAGGGGCTCTGACTTCTCCCTCTACAAAAGGCTGAGGCTCAGAGGAATAGGGCATATGGCTGATGAAGGGCAGAGCCCGGACTGGAATCTGTAGCTGTCATACTCCTAATCTGAAAGCTGTAGCACTTAACTCATCCTTACATTCCTTGCACCTGGTGTAGTAACCGGCAGAGAAGGCACTCCACAAGGTTTGGGGAAGGACAGATCAGGGAAGGTTGGTTATGAGAAGCCATGGGAAAGCTCGACATTGTCCTGGTGTATGATTCCTGGGACTAGGATGGGAGGACCTGTCCACGGAGACCATGGGGGCTTTATAGAGATCAAGGGAGCACCACGCAGACCACATGGAAGTCTTGGTTATTTTCACCTCCCTGAGCCTCTTTGTCCCCACCAGTTGGGACCTGCTAGGCAGGTGTAGGGACAGATGAACTCTCTGAAGTTCTAGGGCAAGTGTTCTTATGGGGCCTGCACTTCTGGCTCCAATTATGAGTAGGACTGCCTAGACCCATGCCCTGACCAGCATGGATAGTGTGCTCAATTATCAGTCACTTGGCACCAGTGCAGTCTTCCCCTGGGAGCTCTCAGGTGATAGTTTATTCCTCCTGCATTCCCTTCTTTATATTTATTTTTTTTATTGAAGTATGGTTGACACATAATGTTATCTTAGTTTCAGGTGTATGTACTCCTTTCTTGACAAAGCACCAGCAGTGGCATTGAGGATGGAAGCTCAAAGTTCCCAGCCCTCAACTCTCACACGCTTACATCTGGACACCTAAAAGTAGCAGGGGAATAAAATGGCAATAAAAATGAAGTCCTTTGGGTGGGAAGCCCCAGATGGCTTTCCTACCAGCACAAGAATAGGCTGCTGGGGCTGATTTCCATAGATACCAGATTAGGTTGTCTGCCTAAGCCATGCAGAAGATGCCTCAGGGTAGGGTTACTCACTTCCTCTTAGACTTGATCACAGTGGGCATTTTTTCTCCCAGTTCAGGCCATGGGTCCAGAAGTAGGCAGAAGTGGTGTCTGGAAGTGGAGGCTATGCCTTCACTTGGTTGGCATGTCTTAAATAATCTTTACAGACTTGGATATTGCAGCAGAACCCTTGCTGGGACAGGTCAGAAAGTTATTCTGTGGTCCTGCAAGGACTCACACCTGCTTATGTAGGTCAATCAGGTGATTGCAGAACATCCTTCTGGACATATGTGGCCTGTGGGCTCATGTATTCATTCAGTAAGTGCTTGTATGCACTTAGTATCAGTCAGAGTGGTGGGCCCTGAGAGTACAGACAGAACTGTTCTTTGCCCTTATGAAGTTGATAGTATAGTGGGGAAGGCAGGCAAAAAAGTAAACACAGGAAGTAAATGTATAGTGGCAGTTTGTGTTAAAGCTGTGATGGAAATGAATAGAATGCAATAAATAAAAGAATGTGATGTTAAATGGGGTAGGCAAGGAAGGCCATATATATATATAT